CTCATCGCCATCCGCAATGCCAAACTGGCTAAGGTACTGTAGTACGCTTCCCCAAATCCGCACCTCACCCCAACACACGGAGTCCTAAGGTAGTACGCTTCTCCAAATCCGCACCTCACCCCAACACACGAGTCCTAAGGTAGTACGCTTCCCCAAATCCGCACCTCACCCCAACACACTGAGTCCTAACAATTCATTCTGTTCAGGATCCTCAATTCCAATTTCTGTGGTTTTAATAAGTTTATCCTTTGAATTCCAAGCTGAAGATCTTCTTTCTTCCATCTGAAGCATGTCACACTTTGGATATAGAGTCACACCTGCACTTTTGCTTCCTCGAAGAAATCTTTCGGTCTCTGTTCTAACCCGTCGCCCCTGGTTGTCGACGGGTCATGACCCAGCTGTCCAGGTTCATGTTCGAGGGCCGGGAGATCAAGCTGGTGACGACGTGCGCGGCCTTCATCACCATGAACCCCGGCTACGCGGGCAGGACGGAGCTGCCAGACAACCTGAAGGCTCTCTTCCGACCAATAGCCATGATGGTGCCCAACTACGCTCTGATCGCTGAGGTCACTGGCGGCCAGTCGTCTCATGCACATGTAACACATTCTGTTACAACGACAGGACTCTCGATTTTGCTCCAGGTGTATCAGACATCTCACCACCATGTGGCCTTTCTACCTATCATACAGGTGATCCTCTATTCCGAAGGCTTTGAGTCCAGTAAGACTCTGGCCCGAAAGATGACCCAGATGTACAAACTGTGCAGCGAGCAGCTCTCTCAGCAGGACCACTACGACTTTGGCATGCGGGCCGTCAAATCTGTGCTCGTCATGGCTGGGTGAGGGGATGAACCTCAGGTCATGACAGCTGGCTGACCCACAAGTCCACAATGACTTCCCTTGTATTGGCACTTCACTGTCAGAAAAATATGCAAATTGTGAATGTGATGACTAGTGATGGATTTGGAGTATAACTGCAGTTTCACGCTTAGATTTCTTTTTGCAGTGCATACTAATTTATGGGGGATTGATTTACAAGCACAAGTGGATATCTCATGACACTCAAAAGTCAGTGTCAGTGAATTTGCTCTCATACTAACCATAAATCCAAATTTATAGCTAAGCCATTATTATGGCCTGCTCACAAGGCAATAAAAGCAGTATGCTTTGCTGAATTATGGATGAGCTGGTATTTATTTACCCAGGACTTTAACAATATACAGCTACTCAGGGTTAATAACAGCCGTTTAGGGAAAATACTAAATTTACTCTGCAGAGATTAACTCTACAGAAATTAACTCTACATTTTTTATGAGCCACTGGGTTAGTGTTTGTAGTACTCACCCTTTATCCAACTTACTCATATAAGACAAGTGGCCGAGTTTAATTTCCACCCCTGCGTGTATGTAAGTGTGTGGAACCAAGTTTCTTTTTCAAGAGTAATCAATGGAGTAACCAGAGCCGGAAAAGTACATTTTATTCTTAATTTCCAGGTCCCTAAAGAGAGAAAATCCCCACCTTAGTGAAGATGTGGTCCTGATCAGAGCACTCAGAGACTCCAATCTTCCCAAGTTCCTCACAGACGATGCCTTGCTTTTTGGGTAAGCGTTGAGAGTCTATCGTATTGTTATGCGGGATATGATCAGACTAATGACAGCCATGATTGCAAACAAAAGCTTCTATGGAGTCCAGGAAAGCTTTCGTCTTGCGCAATTCCACAGAGGCATCCTCTCAGACCTGTTTCCCGGTGTGACCATCCCTGACCACGACTATGGGGTTCTTCAGTCCACCATCGTAGACTGCCTGGGTCAGCTTCATCTGCAACCCCTTCCCAGCATGACAAACAAGGTCATCCAACTGTACGAGACCATGATTGTACGTCATGGTGTCATGCTAGTGGGGCCCGCGGGTGGTGGCAAGACCACCGTCTACACCGTCCTGGCCAAGGCCTTGGAGACGCTCTACTCCAGAGGGCACAAGAACCCCTTCTACCTGCCCGTCAAAACTTACGTACTGAATCCCAAGTCGGTGAGCATGGGAGAGCTGTACGGCGAGATCAACCCACTCACTCTGGAGTGGCGTGATGGCCTGATGGCCCTAACCGTGCGGACAGCCACCAACGACCCCAGCGACGAGCACAAGTGGGTGGTCAGCGATGGGCCAGTGGACGCCCTTTGGATCGAGAACATGAACACCGTGCTGGACGACAACAAGATGCTGTGCCTGGCCAATAGTGAGAGGATCAAGCTCACACCGTCCATCCACATGATGTTTGAGGTAAGGGTGATGATATGAGAATGGCAGCTTGACCGTACTCGTGTACCTATTTTACGTCATCTTCCATTGCTGACGACCAGTTCCAATGCTAACACCACAAGTACACAAGGATGGTAAAACTCCCTAGATGTCGTTCTTGCCCCACCCCAAATATCAAGGATTCTTGGGAGGCAAGTTAGCAAGACCGGTCATACCAAGACCACAAGTACGGTCTTTGCATTCTTGGTACTGAGGAACAGCCCATGTGTCATCCTTACCTTCTTGCTTTGCCTCCATCTCAGGTCCAGGACCTGGCTGTGGCTTCGCCTGCCACCGTCAGTCGCTGCGGGATGGTCTACATTGATCCTAATGAGCTGAAGTGGATGCCCTATGTGCAGTCATGGATCACAGGGCTTCCCGAAAAAGTAACATCATGCATTCTCCATTAATGGCAGAAGAGACCTAATCTTTACTGTATTAGTTTGGATGAGCTATTAAGATAAAGGGATAGCTGTATACTGGGACTTTGCTAGGATCTTCAGGCATCAAGGCTGCTCCGCCCCCTCTGATGTCACAACGATCGTAGCACCATGAAGGGTTTGGGAGATGCAGACCTGAACTAGGACTGTATGGGGTTCTGAGCTTGATTGTTAAAACCCCTGAGCAAAACAATTCAGGACTCTAAATACCTCAGGCTCGTGATGCGCTGTTGTAGGAAAGGGAGGTACTTGTTATCCCTAACATAAGTATATTTTAATAAAATTAACTTTTACTGTAATTACCACAGTTACGGAACATTTTGCCCACAGATAACAGAAGCCATGAGGAGATACCTGCTTGATCTGTTTGAGCAGCATGTGGAGAAGGGACTGCAGTTTGTCAGTAAGAGATGTGTCCAGGTTATGGCTCAGGTGGACATCAGTAAGGTGACCACCCTCTGCCGCCTGCTGGAGGCGCTGTTGCTGAGCAGGGATGGACCTCGATTCAACATGGTACATGATGGCTTATTCTACTAAGTGTGACTCTGTCTTATTATCCATAGAATTATACAAAAATGCAGTGCCTTGATGTTTTTGCCCTTGCAGCTACGTATGATGGCAGTGGGCATCAAAGAGTGCATTGTGCATTTTGTTTGTATTCATAATCCATCTATATATAGAATGTAAACCTAAGCCAATCATTTTTAATTTGTTATAGGAGCCAAACAGGTTGAACAGTGTCCTGTGCCAGACCTTTGTGTTCTGCTATCTGTGGTCAGTGGGAGGGAACTTGACGGAGAACCACTGGGACGCGTTTGACCGCTTCGTCAGGCAGCAGTTTGAGGACAACAGTGATGCCAAGGCAAGGTTCTTAATACTCATTAGCACCCCCTAGAGATTTAGACTGGAAACACAGGTATTTATTATTGTAGCTTTGCAGAAAGAACCACATCTCTTTCTCTGTAATAGTGAAGAGTGAGGTGCCTTCAGGTTCAGCCTAGGGTCAGGCGTCCCGTTTAAGCTCTTTGTGACGTCGCCTGTGGGAGACCCCTTGGCAAACAGTGACAGAGCTCGACTGAACCTCTATGCACGCCAACATGGTGGCAGACATGGAACGTGGAGTGTCAAACCACCCCTTACAGTTGAAGATTAATGGAAGAATATGTTCAAATACAAAAGCACTCTAAAATGAGATAAATTTTGTATTACATAAATTATTAGCTATCTACTGTGCACATTTTTATTTGTAGGATAAAAAAATAAATATTTTTTTCGAGCTGGGAGATCATGTTTTAATAAGTATCTGTGTGACCTCTGACCTCTGGACCGTAAAACTGGATTGTTGCCTCAAGGCAACGTTGTGCTGTTAGGGTATGAAAAACGGCAAGTAAAAGTTGTTTTCTGAAGGCAACATTTCATGATTTAAAAATATTAATCAATGAGTTTGTCACTGTGCCCTCATGCATATACAGAGATGAGACTCGAACATGAATGTATACTAATTATCTTTTGCTCTTCCTGCTTCATTATTCCTCTGTTGGTTGCAGTTGTAAAGCATAATTTCACACACAAGCATGTACTATATTATCATTATTATCATTATTATTAGTAGTAGTAGTAGTAGTGATATTGTTATTAATAATAATGATTATAGTAATAATAAAGTACATTTAAGGGCTGCAATTAAATCAATTTAACGCTTTGCTAATAAAACCTGTAAAGCAAAAATGAATATAAATAAAGCAAATAGGAAAATCACAGCCCCATTAAATGAAATGGCTTCTTCATAATTTGTCACTGTTACAATGAACTGCTTCCCCAGGTACTCTAACAGCAGAGAAATCAGCCTCGTACCCTGGCAGGCCTGACAGTGTTATTATACTGAGGGCCAGCTCGCTTTCACCGACTGGGGTCGGCATCGACCTTTGGCTGGTGATCAGTCTCTGCTGTTACTGATCAACAGAACCAGCCCTATAGCTCTTCATCTTCCACTGGCTCATGGACAATGTAACTGTCAACAGCTGAGCTTTTATATTTACATTGAGAATATTGATACAAAGATGCACGTTACATTAATGTTACTTCATTAACAGCGTATAAAGCTCTGCTCCACCACACACATTTGACCTTTTTTCCCCCTTTTTGTGCCTCCTTATTGCAGCCCCCCCCCCCAGCTATAACTTATCTTTTCTTCATCTCCACCTGCTGTCCAGTGTAATCAGGGATTATGCAGCTAGTTTTTAGACTGGAAAGTTTTCTATTTTTGGCTGTCACTTTCCAAAACAAGACTACAAGGTGATATACAAGTTGCGGTGGGGTTTTACAGATACATGTGTTTGTCTTGCTCTCTTAAATGTGCTCATTAATTGTGGAAGTCATTTATGAATAATAATAATTAATGATACCTTATTGATCCCTGTGGGGAAATTCTCTTTATGCCTCCCCCAAATTGCTCTCTGTAGGTGAGAATGAGCTGGTTGTGAAGGGCAGCCACCCGTAGTGGTGCCCAGGGAGCTGGGGGTTAAGGGCCTTGCTCAAGACAAGGGCCTTGCTCAAGCTGAGGCTGGGTTTGAACCAGCGACCTTGTGGTTACAGGCACAGAGGCTTAGCCCACTGAGCCACATGCTTCCCCTTTATTTTTGTGTTGTGATGTTTGGTTGCCAGCAGGTTGCGCTGTGGCCTCACCACTCCAAGGCTTTGGGTTCGAGCTCGTCCCCTAGCTCTAGGTATATTTGTGATTTGTAAGGATCTGCTTTGAATAGCCCCAGTTTCATCCCAGAACCAAAAGGCACATTATGGGCACGGATCAGTATCGATAAATTGTTACTACCTCGCGTTGTTTAAGCAGTGCGGCAGGATGAACAGCCATTTCATTTTATTCAGTACGTTTTAACTCCACATATTAAGTACAGAATTCTGGGCTGGTGGTCAGTTTACTTTCCTTGAAGGCTTTCCAGCAGCGTCCCGCGTTCGGCCATGTTGACCGTGCCCCCCCTGCCTCTCCAGCTGCCCAGCACAGGGGACTTGTGGAGCGTCTACATGGACTCTGTCCACATGCGGCTGGAACCGTGGGAATCCGTCATCCCCGCCTTTAAGTACGACAGAGAGACTCCTTTCTTTGAGATGCTGGTGCCCACCGTGGACACAGTGCGCTATGGGTACCTCATGGAGAAGCTTCTGTCAGTGCGCCACTCAGTTCTGTTTACTGGTACCACTGGCGTGGGGAAGGTAGGGCCTTGAGATCCAGCTGCGTCTCTTCTGATTCCACTCAGTTTTCAAGAAAGAAAACAATAAACTCTTGATATGTAACGATGAATCTGGATTCTAAGAAGTTCTGCAGTTAAAGTTGAATAGCTACACTAGTAGCCTATACTGTGGAAACACTTCCAATTATTAGAGACTGCAGAACTTTATTCAACTTGCTCCAGTGACTTATTTAATCATCCAATGTATGATGTATGATATTCTTTGATTGTTTATAAACATTACCGCCAATATTTGTGTAGTAATTTGTGCGGTAAGTGTAACGCTAAAAATGCTAGTTGTTTCCACAATTATGGCCACTAGTGTGCATTGTGCTTTCATTCAACTTTTGAGAAGATTCTTTCCAGAGCAGATCCCCGCGGTATCATTACCTTTCCTGTTACAGTCTGTGGTTGCACGTGCCCTGCTGGACAGCATCCAAGAAAGCGCAGGCTACATCCCTGTCTACATCAGCTTCTCTGCCCAGACCTCATCTGCACGGACACAGGAAATTATTGAGTCCAAACTGGAGAAGAGGAGGAAGAACGTGCTCGGTGAGGGCCTTCTAAACATATAGGTTCTCCATGAATTTCATTTGGGTTATGTACCGAGGGAGTGGAAAATATCATGTCCAATATGAATATGATAAAGTAAATAACTACTGTCACTGAATAATTAAATAAATATTTACTGTAGCTAACTGAATACCAATGATTGAAAAATAAATAAATGAATACAAGTTTATTTGGTTAAGCACAAGAAAGAAAAAAATAAACACTATAGGATACATTGTTAAACACAGCATGAGATGTTTACACTTGCAGTCACTACAGAGACTGGAAGCGTAGCTGGTTTGATTCTGCCATCGCCCAGCATTAGTAGAAAATGTTACGACAACTAGGAACAGATCAAAATTAAAAGCTGACTACTGAATGTGCATTGTCATCACACCAAAGTAAAGTCGAAAAATAATTAGTCGAACCGCCGTAAAGCGAAGTGACATCTGCATTTTTGTGATATATGATATGCATTTAATAATTCAGGCTGAATATTACTGGCTATGTGAAGTGTTTTCTATGGAAATGTGTGTGTTGTTTGATCTCTCCCTTGAGTGACTATGTAATTGTGACATCAAAGGTGCTCCAACCAATAAGAAAGTGGTCATATTTGTGGATGACCTCAACATGCCAAAGCTGGACACCTATGGATCACAGCCTCCCATTGAACTGTTGCGGCAGTTGCAGGACTTCCAGGGCTTCTATGATCGTGAGAAGTTCTTCTGGAAGGACATACAGGTAAATCCCTGTTATAGCTGTATGGGTGATCTCCTCTGAGTGCTGCATTCCCACTTGATGTTAGGTTAAAGACGAAGCTGAACAGCTCATGCATTCTACTGACTATTATTATTATTATTATTATTATTATTATTATTATTATTATTATTAATAATAATAATAATATTATTGCTATTTTCCTCAGTGTTTCTTCCACTGGTGGATGACTAATTTCTTATCTGACTATATTTTTGTATGTGCAGATATTAATTTGCAAAAATGCAAATTAATAATTCTTGAATATGCAATTCAGTGTCATCTCTGAAGTTTCATCAGTGAGATTTTCTCATTTAAGACATATTTGCTTTCCCACCACAAAACAAGACAACCAAACAAAAGAAGTACATAAGATATATGCACTGTCCTCATGACTGTGATCACAGAGACCGTGATCACAGAGACTGTGATGAAACTCGGAAAACAGAAAACAGTACTGTACTATACCAAGCACGTAACACACTGCTACACACTGCTGCAGGTAGATCATAGGTATGCATAGTTTGCTATTGAAAAATCCTTGAAATCCTTAACTGAGACCCGTGTAACTGGTAGTGCTTTTGTGCTTTATACACATGAAGACATGAATTAAAAAATGAAACTATTACTGAATAGTTTCATGAATAGTAATGAAACTATTACTCATTATTACTAAATGAATATACTGTTGACTGAGCTCATAATGTAATCGGGCCTGAACTGAAGATATAATGAATTAACTATATTATTACGTTATTGACAGCACAAAATAACAAGGTTGTAATTCGAAGTGCCTCTTCTGCCTCCCCCCCCCCCCAGGATGTGATTATCGCCGCAGCTTGCGCTCCACCTGGCGGGGGGCGTAACCCAGTGAGCCCCCGCTTTACCCGCCACTTCAGCATGCTGTGTCTCCCCCCGGCGTCAGAGCACAGCCTCAGACACATCTTCAAGGTACCGAAGCTCCCATCCCAGCAGCACCAGGGCCTTTTTTTTTCGGGGGGGGGTCATTGTTGGGGCCAGTGGTGTTTCTAGCTTGTATGGTGCCCTGGTTGGCTCCCCCCCCCCCAGACAAAAAAATAAATAGTAGAGTACTAAGTCAGAGGTGCGCTATTCGATAGATTCCCCCGCTTCCCCCACCTTGGCCGTCCAATGCGGCAACCTGAGATCAGCTCACCCCCACCCCCCTCCCCATCTGGTACTTCTGATTGGTCGGCTTCCATTACTTACAAACTAGAATCAGGCCACCCACTCCAACAAGGTTGATTGACCCACACGGTGACATGATATCATTGGCCTGACATGCAAATGAGTGATAGAAAACCAATTGGCCAAATGTCACAACCAGATTTTTTCTGGGGGGCGCCCTGGGTGGCTGGCCATGTCCCCCATACCTAAATACACCTGTGGTTGGGGCCCTACCTACAACGTAAAAACACTAATAATGACCGGAAAAGACACGTCAGGCCCCTGGGCTGTAGCCCGGTTAACCCCTGCATCAGCACGACTGAGGGCTCCTGAGAGACGACAGAAATTACCCCCCAGGACTCTGGGACACCAGCCAGCGGATTTGGTCGCCCGGGGTGCAGCCTGTGTCTGTGCCTCAGATAAGCCTTTGCAAAAAGTCTACAATAAGAGACTCGCTCTCGGCACAGAGGCATAAAAATGGGACGGAGAGCAAAGGCACGAAGGCGTCATCATTCCTTGGAAATTACCTTCATTATTACCATTCATTGCATTACCGTGAAATTACCATGTTTTCTTGAAAGCAGTATTCCACCTATAAATCTTGTCCGTCACCTAAACCCTAAAATCCCCATATTCGTTCGTTCGTATTTCGTCTGTGATATTTTGTAATACCTATAAAGCTCTGGGCAATTTTATAGCCGTCCTGTAAATGTCCACCTCCCTCAGGGAAAGCTGGTTTTTTGATGATACATTCCCCCCCCCCAGAGGTAATAAAGCCTGCCCGTGGCATTGCACACTGCCCCTCTCATGCACGGCTTCCCCTCCCAGACCATCCTCAGTGAGTTCCTGATGGAGTTCCCCTTGGCGGTGAAGCAGATGGCCAGCAACGTCGTGGATGCCGCTGTGGAGATCTACAACCGCATGAGCGTGGACCTGTTGCCCACCCCGGCCAAATCCCACTACGTCTTCAATCTCCGGGACCTTTCCAAATGCGTGCAGGGTATGGAGTTAGAAAGCATGCAGAGTCATTTCTGTCTAGCTCCTCTGCTACCATTTATTAGAGCAGAGTGCATGCTACAGACTAGCGCAAAGTGTAACGCATATTGCAGCTGTAAATGCATGCAAAGTGTCTCATTGGGAGATGCTGTAATGACAACAGCTGCAATTCCTAGTATGAATGAATGTTACATTTACAGTCATGTGCAAAAAAATATGACACCCCATCAAATATTTAATTCTTTATTAAGAAATATAGAAATATCAGTATTAAATCTCCTTTCTAATTATTTCGGTTGATAAAGGTGATGTAATTGCATCATCTATTAAAAAATTCACTTATTTAACAAAGAAAATTAAGATGCCAATTCCTACTGAGGAAAAAGTTAGGACACCCTGTGCCCCGATAACTAATATTCCCCCTTTGGCTGAAATAACCTCAGTGAGACATTTCCTATAATCATCTATCAATCTCTGACATCAGCTGACAGAAAGTCTCCCCCACTCTCCAATGCAGAATTCCTTAAGCTATGTGATGTTTGAAGGGTGTCTTGCATGCACTTCTGCTTCAAATCACCACACAGAATCTCAATAGGATTCAGATCCGGGCTTTGACTTGACCATTCCAGAACTCTCCATTTCTGTCTTGTTAGCCATTCCTTGGTAGATGTACTGGAATGCTTTTGGTCATTGTCATTTGCATGGTCCACCCCCTCTTCCCCTTCAATTTCTGGACAGATGTTTTCACATTGTCCTCAAGCACCCTCTGATATGATGAGGAATTCATAGTGGATTCTATTATGGTGAGCTGACCAGGTTCTGCTGCAGCAAATTTTAGGATTTTTGAAGACTTCTTTCAGCATCTTGTGGTCGGTTCTTGGGCTGAACTTGCTAGGCAGTTGTTTTAAATGTTCTCCACCTGTAAATTATTTTCCAGACAGTGGAATGGCTGTTTCCAAACTCTTTTGAGATCTTTTTATAACCTTTCCAGACTCATAGGCATCATAAGCTTTTTTTCTGAAGCCCTCAGAGAGCTCTTTGGATCTCACCCTGATGATATCACTCATTTCAACAACCAAGAGCAAACTAAACTGAATGTCTGTGGTTTAAATAGGACAGGCTCCACCAAAAAGCTCTGTAACGATGTTCTAATTGTTTTCACCTGGTGTGGTGCACCTGAATCTAATTATAGGAATTTTAAATAGTGATGAATATGAGGGTTTCCTAACTTTTTCGTTAGTGTAAATTAGCATCTTATTTAATTTATTTTTGTGAATAAGTGAATTTATGTCTTGCTTTTGGATAGATGTTGCAATTACATCACCTTTATCCACAGATGTAATTTGAAAGAAGATTTAATACTGATGCGTTGATGTTTCTTAATAAAGAATTAAATATTTAATCCTAATTGTTTCACATGACTGTATATATCACTTTTCAAGACACCCGAAGTGCCTCACAGAACCAAAGGGGATCTATTTTAACCACCCCCACTGTGTACTACCCAGCTGGACTATGCGATGCCAGGCAATTCACAAGAGTACGCTCACCATACAGTAGCTAAGGTGGTGAAGGGGTAGGAGAGAATTCAACAATTAGACATAGGGGATGATTAGGAGGCCAGATTTGAAAGAGCCACAGTGGGCAATTTTAGCCAGGGCATCGGGCTACCACTCCTCCTTCAAAAGATGCCCAGTGATCTTTTATGACCTTGGACAGTCAGAAACACGGTTTTATGTCTCATCAGTACCATTTTTACAACACAGTGCCCTCGTCACTGCAGTGGGCCATTGGGATCCACACAAAGCACAGGATGGGCTACCCTGTCAGCCACACCAACACCTCTTCCAGCAGCCACCCAGCTTTCCTAGTAGATATGCACTTCCTGTTGGCTGAAATCAGACTCTTTGCCCATGGTAGCGTAGTCCTTCTGTTAGTGAAGCCCCTTGCCTACTCTGCCTCCAGGAATGCTGCAGTGCCAACCAAGCACGGTGCAGGACCAAAACCAGATCTTCCGCCTTTTCTGCCATGAGTGTCAGAGAGTGTTCCACGACCGCCTTATCAATAATGAAGACAAGGCCTACTTCAACACCATGCTCTCTGAGATGGCCAGTAAGTCTTAGTATACAAAGCTTGATTTTGCAGCTATGGTACTGATGTTGTCCATTGATTGATGGTTTTAGATATTCTGAGCTACAAAATTATCTGTTTTAATATTTAATAAACAGTGTCTGGCCTGTACAATTTTTGAAACATTTATTATAGTTTTCAATTTATAACTTTTCCTATGCTTGCATATTTTTAATTATTAAACTGGCATTTTTTAAATAGGCAAGTATTTTGAATTCAACCTGGAACCCAGCTACTTGACAGACAAACCAATAATATTTGGAGATTTCATCAAGGTAATCTGTGCCAGGCAATGCCATACTGAAGGGCTTTATAATTATTTAATTATGTAAACTGCACTAGTTAAGCTGGAAGATTGATTTTTGTTGTTTTGCGTATAATTTTTAGGTTGGTGCAGATAAGGCAGACCGCTTGTATGAGGACCTGACTGACATCGAGAAGATTCGGTCGGTTCTACAGGATTACTTAGATGACTACAACATGACAAACTCTAAGGAAACGAAGCTGGTCTTCTTCCAAGATGCCATCGAGCATGTCTCAAGGTTATGTCAGGCGTTCCATAACCAAAAAAGATAATGGCGCAAAATATATAATGAGTAGTTACATTATAAATAATGTGCTGTTTTTTCCGCAGGATTGCCCGAATGATCCGTCAGGAGCGTGGAAATGCCTTGCTGGTGGGTGTAGGGGGCACAGGAAAGCAGTCGCTAACGCGGCTAGCGGCCCACATGTGTGGCTATCGCTGCTTCCAGATCGAGCTCAGTCGCGGCTATGGCTACGATGCCTTCCACGAAGACCTGCGGCAGCTCTACAAGCTCGTGGGCATGGAGGGCAAGGACGCGGTGTTCCTCTTCACTGACACACAGGTGTGACAGACAGCAAGGCATGCAGGGCCAGTGAGCTTTACAAGAACAATTTTAGAGGTGGTGGGTCCAAGTAACTAGAGGAGGTGGGACCAACCAATCAGATGGCATTTTCAGGCATCAAATGTGTTTTTATGATAGTTCTGGGTCCCCATATGATGGGAAGCCACAGTTTAGCTTGCTGTAGTAGCATATTTCCTACTTTCCAACGAACTGTTGCTTCATTCTGAGGCCCCAAATTAGGGTTAGCAAACTGAGGCAAGGGTTCTAGTCTCTCAAGAGCCCCGATCAGAGTCTCCATTGACTCTGCTAAGATCACAGCATCATCGGCAAAGTCAAGATCAGTAAATCTTTCTTTACCAATGGACACCCCACAGCTGCTGGACCCCACGACCCTGCCCAACACCCAGTTTATACAAGCATCGAACAAAGTAGGAGCAGGAATACACCCCTGGTGAACCCCAGAATCAACTGGGAAGAACACAGGGGTTCTCCCTCCACTCTGCATAGTACTCACAGTACCAGTGTACAGGCCGGCCATGACATCCAGCAACTTCGGGGGGATCCCACAAAGTCTCAGGATGTCCCATAGGGCAACTCGATCAACTGAGCCGAATGCTTTAAGAAAATCAGCAAAGGTTGCAAAGAACCTCTGCACTTGATGAGAACCCACAATGGCAGGATACAGTCAATGGTAGACTTCGTAAAACCAGACTGCTCCGGTCGCTGACAGGCAAGCAAGTGATCATGGATCCTGTTAAGGATGACCCTAGCAAGGACCTTATCCGGCACTGAAAGCAGTGTGATCCCCCTGTAGTTCGCACTATCTAGGCAATCACCCTTCCCTTTCCAGATAGGGACTACAAGTCCTGTTTTCCAGTCAGTAGGGATGACACCTGACTTCCAAATGGAAGAAAAGATTGTCTGCAATGCCAGGAGGACAGCCTTACCACCAGCCTGGAGAAGTTCACCCCGGATACCACAGATCCCTGCGGCCTTCCCTGCCCCCAACTGATTCACCACCCGTGCAATCTCGGTGAGATTGGGTAGTTCACAGCTGATCGGAGGATCAGCTTCGAGAATCGTGGGTCCAGAGATATCAAACATCGTAGCTGGAGGGTCAGCTTTAAACAACTGCTCAAAGTAGCCGGCCCAGTGGGTCACAATTGCAGTGTCATCCGTAAGGACCATTCCATCACCCGCCCTGACTGCAAGTCTCTAAGGAACAGATTCAGATGTGGGTAATGCTTTGAATCCTCTGTAAGCAGGATTGGTGTGTCACCTGCTCACAGATTCATTTAACAAATGCCTCTTTATCTGCCCTCAGAGCCCTCACAGCTATCCTTCTCAGTTCCCAGTACAGACTAGTTGCCACTAAATTGTGCACTGCGACTCCTCTCGATAATATCCAGGGTGCCCTTTGAGATGAAACACCTCCTTCTGGAAACACTGGCGACACCAACACAACCCTCGGCAACCATCCATTACCATCTGCTTGTCCAGGGGTCGGGTTGCGGGGATAGCAACTTCAGGAGAGATACCCAGACGCCCCTCTCCCCAGCCACCTCTACCAGCACTTCGGGGAGGATGCCGAGGCGTTCCCAGGCTAATTGAGAGATATAATCCTTCCAGCGTGTCCTGGGTCTGCCCCGGGGGCCTCCTCCCTGTAGGACATGCACGGAAAACCTCTCCAGGTAGCCACCCAGGAGGCATCCGCACCAGATGTCCAAACCACCTCAACTGGCTCCTTTCGACATAGAGAAGCAGCGGTTCTACTGTGTGACACTCTCGGATATCTAAACTTCTCACCCTATCTCTAAGGGGGAACCCAGACACCCTGAGGAGAAACCTCATTTCAGCCGCCTGTATCCACGATCTCATTCTTTCGGTCACCATCCATAGCTCATGACCGTAGGTGAGGGTAGGGAAGAAGATGGACCAATAGATCGAGAGCTCTGCTTTCTGGCTCAATTCTTTCTTAGCCACAACAAACTGGGTAAGCGTCTGCAGAACTGGAGATGCCACTCTGATCTATCTGCCCAGCTCTCAATCTTGTCTACCCTCAGTCATGAACGAGATGCCGAGAACTCCTCCACTTGAGGTAGTACCACCTCCCTGACCTGAAGAGAGCAATCCACCCGTTTCCAGCTCAGAACCATGGTCTCAGACTTGGAGGTGCTAATCCTCATCCCCGCCACTTCGCACTCGGCTATGAACCTCCTCAGAGCACGCTGGAGGTCCCCAGCAGATGAAGCCAACAGGACCACGTAATCCGCAAAAAGCAACGATGCAAACCTTAGGCTACCAAACTGGACACCCTCAACACACTGCCTGCGCCTAGAAATCCTGTCCATAAGTATTGTAAACAGGACCGGTGACAAAGGGCAGCCCTGGCGGAGCCCAACCCGCACTGGGAACACGTCCGACTTATTACCGGCAATGCGGACCATGCTTCTGCTACGTTCATACAGGGACCAAATCGCTCGCAGTAGTGGGCCACGAACCCCATACCCCCGAAGCACCCCCTCCCCACTGTAAACAGTAGGAACCAGAAGCTGCTTTCCCTTCCTGATATTCCTGATGGATTCCCAAAACTTTTTGAGGCCGACCAAAAATCACTTTCCGTGGCCTCACCAAACTCCTCACGTGCCCAGGTTTTTGCCTCTGCAACTGCTCGAGCCACGTTCCGTCTGGCTTGCTGGTACCTGTCAGCTGCCTCCGGAGACCCCCAGGCTGATAATTCCCAGCAAGGCCTCCTTCTTCAGCTTGACAGCCTCCCTCATCTCTGGTGTCCTGCAGCCACAGCTCCATACAGCTGCTTCCACAATGGAGGTCCGGAACAGTGTCCATTCAGACTCAATGTCCCCACCCTCCCCCAGTATGCAGTTGGAGTTCTGCCGGAGGTGCGAGTTGAAGATCTGGCATACAGGAGCCACTGCCAGACATTCCCAGCAGAACCTCACTATGCGCTTGGGCCTGCCAGGTCTGACCAGCCTCCTCCCCTGCCACCTGAGCCAGCTCACTACCTGGTGGTGATCAGTTCACAGCTCTGCCCCTCTCTTCACCTGAGTGTCGAAGACAAAAGACCGCAGATCAGGTGATACGATTATAAAATCGATCATCAACCTGTAGCCCCAGGCATGTTAGTACCATGCTCACTTATGGACACCCTTATGCTCGAACATGGTGTTTGTTATGGACAAACCATGCGTTGCACAGAAGTCCAACAACACAACACCACTTGGGTTCAGATCAGGGAGTCCGTTCCTCCCAATCACTCCCCTCCTGGCCACACTGTCGTTGCCCATGTGAGTGTTGAAGTCCCCCAGGAAAACAATAGAATTAGAGTCCAAGAAGGCTGGGTACTCCGAACTGTCATTCGGTGCATAAGCGCAGATGACAGTCAGAGACCTCTCCCCGACCCGAAGGCGCAGGGAGACAGCCCTCTTGTTCACTGGGGTAAACTCTGATGTTAACGCGCTGAGCTGTGAGGCCACCAGTAGCCCCACCCCAGCCTGGTGTCGCTCACCCACCACAACTCCAGAAGAAAAGAGCATCCAACCCCTCTCCAGGAGATTGGTTCCAGAACCCACGCTATGTGATCAGGTGAGCCCGACTATATCTAGCCAGTATCTCTCAACCTCACGCACAAGCTCAGGCTCCTTTCCCATGAAAGAGGAGACAATCCATGTTCCAAAAGCCAGTTTTGTCAGCCGGGGATCGGTCCGCCAGGGCCTCCCTTGGCTGCCACCTGATCCACATAGCACCGAGCCCCTAACATTCCCCTTGCGGTGGAGGGCCCACCTGGGGACAGTCCCACGTAACTCTTTCGGGCTGGGCCCAGCCGGGCCACCAGGCGCTCACCAACGGGCCTCTCCCCCAGGCCTGGCTCCAGAGTGGGGCCTCGGTGACCCTAGTCCGGGCGAGGGAAACGGGACTCTGATTTTATCATTTTTCATGGGGTTCTTTTGGATTGCTCTTTGTCTGGCCCCTCCCCTGGGACCTATTTGCCTTGGGAGACCCTACCAGGGGCTATTGCCCCCGACAACATAGCCCCCAGGTTCTGTGAGGCACGCAGACCCCTCCACCACGATAAGGTAGCAATCCAGGGAGAGTAAACCTTCAGGGTCTTATCACAGAAGGTCTCCCACATCACATTAGAGTCAGCAGTCACACCCAAGTCTGCAAGTTTCTCACAACAACAAGTCTGCAGTCAGAATTTACAAACTGGGCACTTTTGTAGACCCTCCAGTTCTGCAGGAGCCTCCAGCGTCTGCCCACAAATATCTCCTTCGCCACACCACCAGGCCAATGATGCGGCTCAGGGCATTGGAACAAGGATCCAGCGACCCATGGTGACCGACACAATCCTCAGAGCCAGCCGTGTCAGTGCCAGTGGTCGCATTGAAGGCACCCATGACTAGAGGAATGTCACCTCGTGGGCACCCTTCAACCACCGAGCGAAGTTAAAATGTCTTCCCCAATTAGACATCACTTACCATTGTCGGAGCATACACTGAGACAACATACAAGACACCCAAGGAGTGCCTTAGCCCGAGTCTCATTATACACTCGTTGAAACGAGTGACATCAGACACAATTGGGAGGAGCTACTCCCTGAGTATGACAGCCATCAGACTTACCAGACCAGAAGTAGGTATACACACCTACAGAGATCTGGCCACTCCCCGGTCTGTGTACCTCAGAGAGTGCTGCCACCAAAACGCAGAGTTTACGAAGCTCTCCTGACAGCAGAGCATCTTGCCGGAGAGAGAAGATGTTCCACATACCTACCCGGATGGGTCGCCTCAAACTGGGACCTAAGTCCCACCATGCAGCAGGCGACGCCTGAGCACCACACCAGCCCCGATCCCCAACAGGCCTGATCCTATTAGCTCTCCGACAGTTTCAACTCGTCCAGGGATGAGGCTCCCGAAAGCTTTCCCCCATCCCCTTCATGGTGCGTGCAGCCTTCCTGCGGGCAGCTGCAGCAGAGCTACTCCCACAGAGAGCAGAAGGGTATCGTGCCGGTTTAAATCAAGTGGTTGTGAGTTGTTTTACGGCGGCTGGAGTGCCAATCCTGCCACCAACCCCCAAAAATTGTTTGCCTGCAAGTTGGAGGACCACTTGCAGGGCCAGATGCAGATCAACGTCATACCCCTGACCAGGTTTCACCCAAAGGTCCTAGGTTAGGGTTAGAAAAAGTATGGCATTTTCAGGCATCAAAGTGTGTTTTATGATAGTTCTGGGCCCCCCTATGATGGGAAACCACAGTTTAGCTTGCTTTAGTAGCATATTTCCTACTTTCAAACAGCCTGTTGTTTCACCCTAAAGCCCTGAGCAAACTGAGGCTCTCCCTTTAGAACTTTTTTGTGTAAGCAAAACTCCCACAAGCCCAATCTTAACATCCCCATAAAATCATTGCTTTACCAGTAGCATCCAGACCAGATATTGACACATCATGAATTAGGAAGAAAAAACAGTTATCCAAAGACATTACCATTTTATATGTGATTGGTAATTATAATGCTCAAAATGGCTTGTATGATCTGGCTTATGTTTTACATGTCTTGGTTTGATTACATATTCGTACAACATCTCTTGTTTAATGCAGTCAATTTATAACAGCTCTCATACAGCCACTGATGCCAAATGGTACCTTGAAATACATCTAAATTAAATCAGTTTTGGTGATGCTATACCTAGTGTTGCTCTGTGTCAGATTGTTGTGGAGGAGTTCCTGGAGGACATCAACAACATGCTGAACTCGGGAGAGGTGCCCAGCCTGTTCGAAAAGGAGGAGCTGGAGCAGGTGTTGGCCACCACACGCCCAAAAGCCAAGGAAGCTGGAATCTCTGAGGGCAACAGGGACGAGGTGATGTTACAGTATCATCATGGTTGTGGTTTTGCATGGAAACAGCTAGATCCAGGTCATGGGAATTCTGTTACTCTGGGACTCTTTCATATCATATATTTCCATAATGCTATAAGTCGGTTTTCTCAATCCAGTCCTCCGGCACCCACAGTTCCATCACAAGCTGGAAGGGAGCAAAAATGTGGACTGTCTAGCATGGAGTTCGGGGGGGAAAAAACCATGGACCGGCTGTGGGTCCCCAGGGATTGGATTGGGAAACACTGTTATACATAGATACAATGTCTTGCTTTCATACTCTTGCATCATTTGACCTTTATGTGAATGTGCAGGTGTTCCAATTCTTCATCTCCCGCGTGAGGGAGAAGCTGCACATCGTCCTGTGCATGAGCCCTGTTGGCGATGCCTTCAGGTCTCGTTGCCGCATGTTTCCTTCCCTAGTCAACTGCTGCACCATCGACTGGTTTGTCCAGGTCAGAGAGCATCGGCAGCTATGCTAATCCATTCTTAGATCCTCCTTTGTCAATCCTTAAATCTATTGTCCCGTCTCATAGTGTAGTTTGTTGTGGCTCTCTGTGGATAAGTAATTTATGTCATCCTTCTAGTTAAGGAAATTAAGGCAGTGATTTCAGGCTCTGTCTCTTTACATTATGTCTCTCCTCCTCTCTTCTCGACTGTACATTAACATACTTACCAGTATACAAGTAACGTTCACAAGCTGCTCGGAAGATGGGAAGGACTGGGAGAATAACCAATCTTAATTAGGGGCTCATGTCAGCTGGCCAATTAAGCCATGCGGAGTAGGCGGGTAGTGAGAGGGAGCGAGTGAGCTTGATGGATGTCATGGCTTAGCTGAAGCCAAAGCTCATTATTAAGCGGCTCCTGTCCTCTATTTGGTGGTAGCCCTCCTTTGTTCTGGGGTAATATGGTTCTGTCTGCTCCCTTTAGATGCTCTTTATTAGTGGATCTAGGCTTGGTCTGTTACAGAAACAACTAAAACAATAATAATACGTGTAGTGGTGGTGGTCGTGGTGATGAGGATGATGACGATGAGGATGATAATGATGGTTGACACAGTGGTTAGCGCTGTTGCCTCACATCTCTGGGACCAGGGTTTAAGTTTCTGCTGTGGCTCCATGTGTGTGGAGTTTGCATGTGTGTGTGTCTGTGTGCATGTGTGAGTGAGAATCATCTGTGTGCCCTGCAATGGGTTGGTACCCCATCCTGGGTTGTTACCTACCTTATACCCATAGACTTTGAACCCCCACCTACCACCCCTGAATAGGACAAGCTGGTACAGAAGAAGATGGATGATGATATTGTCGACTATATAAATGATATTTGACATAAAGCTTCATATTCTTCATTGTGCCCTTGTTTATAGAGAGTGCAGCCTTTCTGAATTCTGTGGTTTTGGCTTTAGCCTAAAAGCCCGACCACTCCTCGTCACTCACACACCCCCGTACCTCTTCCTGCCCAGTGGCCCCGTGAGGCTCTCCTCTCTGTGTCCCACACCTTCCTCAAGAACGTTGAGCTCGGCAGCGAGGAGATGAAGGGCCGCTTCTGTGAGATGTGCGTGGAGATCCACGTCAGCGTGACGAAGATGGCTGAAAGGTTCTACTCGGAGCTGCGGCGGCATTACTACACCACGCCTACATCCTACCTGGAGCTCATTAACCTCTACCTGGCCATGCTGGGGGAGAAGAGGCAGCAGCTTATCATGGTGACTGGGCACATGTTTCTGCACCATCACACTATGCTGAAGCAGAAACATCCAATTTATTCTTGCTTACTTCTTGCTGTGTGTGTGGGTTTTCATGATCACCATGTGTTGCATAAATTTCCACTGGTTTCCAGGGGTCTGTTTCACAAAGCTGGATTTCTTGCGTAGCTGGATAAGTTGTTGGATTTAAAGGTGTCTGGGTTTATCTTCGTCCACTTACATTAGCCCCGAGAACCTTAAATCCGACAAGAAATCCTGCTTAGTGAAACAGGCCCTAGTAGTTATGCAGTTGGTTAAATGGCATCTCTGAATTGTCTGTATTGTGTGTGTTTATACATTGTTGGGACCAAATATCCCATGTGATAAAATCCTGTTATTTTGATGTTGTGACAACCATTTTTTTCAGTCCCTACAAAGGGGAATTCAGTTTTATAAAAAATCAGTGACCGCAACAAACAAAAAATTAAAATGCCAGTAGAATTGTATTTTGTTTGGTTACTTATGCCTAAGGTTGGGGTTAAGGTTGTCATTGTTGGGACGAGGGTTTTGCCCATAGTAATGAATGTACAGTCCCCACAAAAACATGAATACAGGAATACAGGTCTTTGTGTGTGTGTCTGTGTGTATGTCTATGTCCTGTGATAAACTGTTATCTAGGGTGACCAGATAATCCATGTCAGGAGGGACATTATGAGGTACAGTAATTCAGGTTTTACAGACTACTTTAAGACTGAAAGGCTCCTGTTCTTGACTAAATAGTTCAGTTTTTTGTGCTTTGGTTTGTTTCCTTGATTGAAAGACTTATCCAGCTGTTTCACTTTAACATTAGTGACACATGCATGATTATAGGAGACTGACCAATCAGCACACAGCAAGAACTTGAGTGAAATCCGGGTCTTTTTAATTGAAATGGTAGTTTACAAATCCTGTCTTAGCTCAAAGTGTCCTCCCTGCCCTGGACTATCTGGTTACCCTACTATCATCTCAGCCAAGATGTACCCTTACCCTGAATGGGACTCAGGCCTCCCTTTGACCAGAACCAGGATTTGTCAGAAGATGAATGGATCTCTTATGTAAACCTATGTATCGCCTCCAGGAACGAGACCGTGTGGCAAATGGGCTCACTAAGCTGCTGGAGACCAATGAGCTGGTGGACAAGATGAAAGTGGACCTGTCTGCTCTAGAGCCCGTGCTGAAACAGAAGTCCATAGATGTCAATGCTCTGATGGAGAAGCTTGCTGTAGACCAGGAGAAAGCAGATCAGGTATGTGAGTGTATGACGATGTGTGCTTCTTTTTCTGTGTGATTGTATCTCATACAGCCTTGCCTTGGGTCTCCTATGGTTGTTTCTTCAGGTTCGCAAGGTGGTAAAAGAGGATGAAGAGGCAGCCAAGGTGAAAGCGGATGAAACCCAGGCCATCGCCGATGACGCCCAGCGGGACCTTGATGAGGCCCTGCCCGCCCTGGACAGCGCTAACCGTGCCCTGGATGCTCTGGACAAGGCGGACATCGCTGAGATCCGAGTCTTCACGAAGCCACCTGACCTGGTCATGACAGTGATGGAGGCCGTGTGCATCCTACTCAACAGCAAGTGAGTCAAGCTGTACAGATGTGCCTCTAGACTTTTGGGATATATTTTATCCGCAGTTCATCGATACCAAGGTTGCAAGATCCATGACCTGTGATGTATGTGGTAGCATTGAGTAACCTTTAACAGTGATTCTAACTTTTTAAAAGTTGTTGGATATTTGTATGTGGTCAGCGGGACAAAATAACAAGATATTGTTGTCCCCTGGAGCACAATAACGCACCACAATATATATTATACTTCCAATATTTCCAGATTTTTTTTAGCCAGAGCCAGTATTCTAAGCTGCCAGGTCATAGAATGATTTCCAGAGGATTATGTAGGCATAGAAAACTCATTTTAAAAAAGCAACACCTTGGAGTATTTTTTGATAAGGATGAATGAGATAAATTAGATTAAGATTTAGCCTGCCTTTGAATTTTGGAATTAATTTAGTTCAGTATTTTTGTAGGAAGAGAGCTCAAAATAGATCCTAATTAGTACTACAGAATTGCATTAATGCTATTGCCCAAGGTAAGCAAACAGGCTCAGTCCAAGGTAAACAAATTTTCCTTTTTACTTCTGCCAGATATAACAAGTAGCTTATAACTGATGCAACATCAAGGCTCTTATTCCATTGTATATTGGCACTTCTGCCTTATTTGATGCCTGGAAAAGGGGGGAAAAAAGGGAAAAAAATCTACACATTCCTTGTGAAAGTGACCTTCCAGCAGGATAATAATATATATATCCATAAATTATAAAGAGAACAAGGAAATGTGCTGTAATGCATCAAAGCATGCAATTTGTCACTGAAAAAGACTGAATGCAGCAGTGCTGTCATCATTACAGGTTTAAGCAATTGGCAAACATTAAAGAATTCATTCTTTTATGATATTAGGTGTCTGAGCTGGCGTTGATATATTGCTGTTATAATCGATAGCAGGGGTGCCCAGCCTTTTTTACAGCTTCTTTTACAAAGAAAATACTCTGGTGAGCTACTGAATTGCGGCCATATATTTTGTGGCCTATTAGTACATTTGGCCAATCACAATCGACCGATTGGCCGCCAATGAAATAAAGTATTGTAGCGCTGGTGGGATTAGCGTATCCCAGCATGCTTAGCGAGCGGGTGTACATAGCCCTGTGTATGTCTTGTATATATCCCCTGATTTGTATTTGTTAGTTTAACACTAGAAAGACTGACTGGGTCAATTGACCCAAATCAAACAAAATCACTGCTATTTCTCATTGAAGTTCTTGCTACAAAAATCTGAAAAAAGTTAGCTTCAGTTAGCTTTCGTTTGACAGCTCATGCATATTTTGGCCAAGCATTTGCCGCAAACAGGACGCTTGCACGTGTCACAGGTAGTGACAGTTTTGTTGCGTTTACAAGCAACCGTGACTTGACAGCTGACTCTTCTCTCAAGTTGCCCTGTCGGTGATGGTGTTATGACTATTATGTTATTGTTATTATGACTTGGTTATCTAATTCATTTGCATGACATTACGTCAATTGACCCAGTCAGTCTTTCTAGGTATATACTGCTGTAAAATACTAATTTCACCAGCAACTTCATTTGTGTTACCTTGTTCTGTTCAAGAATGATAAAAAAATAAAAGTCAGATTTTTTCAGATTTTTGTAGCAAGAACTTCAATGAGAAATAGCAGTGATTTTGTTTGATTTGGGTCAATTGACCCAGTCAGTCTTTCTAGTGTTAAATCCTTGCCTGCTGTATACCCGAATATCGCGTGTGCCCGTACATGTGTTTGTACTCGGTTCCAGCCTGAGCCTGATGTGTCTTAGCCATTGTGTAATAACCCGCCGTGTGTGTGCCTGGTCACCCTTAGTGTAACTTCCCTGTGTTTCTCCGCCATTGAGTGTCTCCCTGCTATTGTTGCTTCATGCGGTGCTTTTAAGGACTACGTTAAAGAGCAGCATCGTGCTCATTCGCGTCTTCTCACATCCATTCGCCACGATGGTGATGCCTCAGTCTGCCCAGTGCCACAGTATTATTCATTAATCGTCTCTTGATCGACTTGGAAACACGTCGCGATTGACCGGTCGACGATCAAAGAGTTTGGCGTCCTTGATCTATAGCTACCGGTCTGTTTCTGAAAAAGAAACAGCTTGCCTCTGAAGTTTAGAGTAAGATGCTTGGCTGAAAATTCTCTCACATGGCCATCTATCTGCAGTATGTTCACCCTGTCTTTCTTTGGTTTGGGTGCATGACAACCTGTGAAATTTATATGGCGACATGGGCTAAGAAACATGAGCCTCACAGGGGAGGTGTCAAATTTGACACCTAAGAAGTCCTCTCTGTCCATTCATATTTATGTAAGTTTAGACACTTAGAGTGTCCCTTGTCAAAGCAAGCAATTTATGACAATTATGAGTGAACCTGGCGGTAGCCGGAGCTAGCGAGTGTGTCCAGCTGCAGTGGTGACAGCTGGATTGCATCCGCCGATTTGATTTATCGCCCCATCAAGTATCGGTTTATTGCACCCTCAGGGCCGACTGGGCAAGTGCCAAGCAGGTCCTGGGGGACTCATACTTCCTGAAACGGCTGACGGAGTACGATAAGGACAACATCCGCCCGCACGTCCTGCAGAAGCTCCACAAGTACATCAACAACCCCGACTTTGTCCCGGAGAAGGTGGAAAAGGTGTCCAAGGCCTGCCGGTCCATGTGTATGTGGGTACGCGCAATGGACCTCTACTCCAGGGTCCTCAAGGAGGTGGGACCCAAGAGGGAGAAGCTGGCCGCTGCACAGGTGAATACGATCATTCAGTGGGAATCGGGCTGGTCAATTAAAAGGCTGGTGGTTTAAATTCCTAGAAAGGCACTAGAGTTTAGCTGATGAGCTGGGATCTCCTGTCATACTAACTGTACAATGAATGAAAAGCTGGTGGTGTCTGTCATGTAGGCCACATCCCCATGTTGATATGACCCTCGTCCATCCACCACATCCTGATAGCATTTCATGGCACTGTACTTCCACAAATTTGTCCAAACACTGCCCTGATCTATCAGTCAAGCTAAAATATCTATCCGTTCATCTTCCAGGCACGGACCGGGAATCTCTCGGTGGGTGGTCATGTGAGGGCTGGTTTTTCTTCCCCCAACCCCGGGGGAATGGGAGAACATGCGAACTCCACACACACAACACAGCAGGGGCACGATTCAAACCAACATCCTACCCACTGAGTCTCCCTCAGTCCAATGCAGCATAAATTTAAACACTGTGAATTATACATGGTGCTTGGCCCATCCTCAGAGATCCTCATCATCCAGGACGCTCAGTGTTCAGGTGCAGGAAGTCAGAGTGCAGCCTCAGACGTCAAAGGCCTGAGCGCATATTTTTATTTTTTCGCTCAGGAGTGTACTTGTACGTGTGCAACTGGAAAAACAATCAACTCAGTTCAATAATGTGATGATTATGAATTACTACAGGCAGAAACAGAGAAGGGACACAAACTGAGAGCCTCTACTAAGGTCTTCCTCTTCCTCGCCATGCAGACAGAGCTCGACACGACCATGGCCACCCTGAAAGAGAAGCAGAAGAAGCTGGAGGAGGTGGAGGAGCAGATCAGGATGCTGCAGGACCAGTTTAACAGCAGCGTGTCTGAGAAGGAAGCACTGGGTGAGGTTTAGCTTTAAGAGAAGCTACCATGGCCGCTATCGACCTTCCACTGAGTGCTCTGCCTGCGTGTCTCCGGGCAGCAAGGACCATGTCCCTGACGGAGGCCAGGCTGGGTCGGGCTGGGAAGCTTACCGCCGCCCTAGGGGACGAGCAGGTGCGCTGGCAGGAGAGCACCGCCCGCTTCCAGGAGGAGATAACAAACGTCATCGGCAACGTCTTCATTGCCTCGGCCTGCGTGGCCTACTGTGGCGCTTTTACCTCCCAGTACCGTCAGCTGGTAGGTCCGGTCATTCTGGCTTCCACTCAAGCACAGTCTCTGTGTCACCCAAGTGCTGCATCCCTAGCAGTGCCGGTCCTCAGGAGACATAGGCGGCCGCCTAGGGCGCCATCTTCTGTGGGGGCAACGACTTAGCAAAACGCCATGGGTGGATCTTTCCTTGGGCTCCCCATGACCTCCAAGCAGCACTGATTTCCAGTACATTCTATCTCTGTCTTTTTAGAATAGTTTGTCTTGTACCAAAGTAGACATTTATCTTGGATAGCAGTCTATCCAAACCAGGGGCGTCAGAAGCATTTTGAATGTGGGGGGACACACTGGCATAAAACTAATACATTATGTTAAATGTGGGGGGGTCCAAATGAATATTTATGAAATGTGAGGGGGACACATCCCCCTCAGATTTAATGGCGGCGACGCCCATGATCCAAACATACAAAGGACATATAAGGCCCTTTCTGTAAAGGTCAGCCATTTTTCTGTCCCTAGCTACCTGTGCCCTTAAACTTCCCTAAAATCAGGAATACTATTGAAATATTTAAGATCCCACACTAGCCATTATTTACAGCATAGCAGTCTAAGCTTTTGCTCCCTGTATTCAGTCTATGTGAGCCCAGTGTATGTCGGTTTTTCTCTCCAGTCCAGTTCTTAATTAATTAGCCATAACTGAGTTATTACTGTTGCCGATCCCAACGGCTCACATGAAAGTAAACAATTTGGCTGCAAATTAAACGAGCAGCAGATATTTACCCAGATGCTGAGGCTGAATATAGGAAGGCAGGGGACAGGGGAGGTGGGGGGGGCAGAATGGGGCAGAATGAGGCCGTGGGAATCCCCAGTTTGCATGCCTTCTGTTGCTATTGGCAACATTATTCGTATTAAATCTCTGGCCCTGAGAAGTTATTGTTAATCAATGGCATTATAAGACATAGACGGCTACTGTGGAGAAAAATGATTGTCGGCACAGTAAGATGTGGAGCTGGATTGGTACATACAGAGATTCAATTTTGTCGAAGTCCAATATCAAGGCTTGCATTTAAAAAATGCAAACAGCAGCCCAGAAACAATATCGCTTTCAAACAACATTGATTCTGCATTTTAAAAGTCGCACAAACACATCTTCTTTTGTCACATAGTAGTTTTCCCTCATCTATAAATCCTGCTGGATTAATGGCACGATGATCACTCAGGGATTGAGGCAGATAATATTACCTGCTGTGACCAGTGTCACAGTGGATGCTGTGCACATAGACTGATACCTAATATGTCTCTAATGTGGGGGAGGGTGCGGAACAGGCACTGACTACAGAGCGTCACCACACCCACCACATGACAAACCAGCTCAGGGGTGAGAACCCCATGTACCTCAGCACCACACTACTCCAAATGGACCAGCATGAGGTTTTTTTCCAGTGGCTGGAGAACCAGTCCTGCCACCAACCCCAAAGTTATGCCCTGTAAGTTGGAGAATCTCCTTACAGGGCTGGATATAGATTAACATCATACCCAGGATGAAGCAATCGCAGGATAAGGACCTTGCTCCTGGGCCCAATGGAATAGAATAACTTTGGACATTCATGGGATTTGAACCAGCAACCTTCCAGTTACATGGCACAGATCCCTAGCCTCAGAGGCACCACTCTGTCTGTAATGTACCAGATATAATATATATAATTATGGATGATGGTATGTTTTCAGTATTAGCCTGCAGTATATCTTAATCTAGTCAGGCTTCCTGTGTTTTCCTGCAGCTTGTGGCTGGATGGACGTCCCGCTGCCAGGACCTGGGAATCCCCATCAGCGACAGCTTCAGCCTCATCAGCATTCTGGGCCAGCCCTACCAGATCCGGCAATGGAACGCAGAGGGGCTGCCCAGAGACACCGTGTCCACTGAGAACGGCGTGCTGGTGACGCGAGGTCGCCGCTGGCCGCTCATGATCGACCCCCAGGACCAGGTGGGGGCCGCTGCTGCTCCCCCCACAGTGACGCTGTGTAAACACCCCCTGTTCTGTCCCTCCTGGACACTGCTCGTCCTAGTTTGACTACTGTCAGTCTGAAACACATGCTGTTAAAAAGCAGCTCCCTTCTGGATCCTTCATTTCTTAGTGCTTGTTACTTCTACCCAAAGCAGGGGGGATTTTTTTTTTTCATGGGGGGGGGGGGGGGGGCACCGCTGGGACCGGCACTCTAGGGCACCCCCTGCAGATGTCAACATTTTTTTTCCACAACAAAAGACATAGATCAAGTGTCCACTCCAGACCATTCTGATAAAAAATTTTGGTTCAAATATTGTAAATATCATAGTAAAGTAAATTTCTGTCAGAATTTGTCTACTTGATTGGTGAATTTTGCTAACAACACTCCCAGCCCCCTCCGGATAGGTCATTTATACCACTGATTAGCATATTATTATATGATTGGCCCCCAGAGAAGTTAGTTCACCCCTGATCCAAATGCAAATGTGCAAAACATATCGCTCAGTCTGCTTCTGTAGACCATTCCGGGCAGCGATAGGTTGTGCAAAATATTTCAGTAAAAATCAGGGAGATTTCAGTACAGTAACCTGATATGACTTAGCACAAGTTTGCCGTATGAAAGAATCTTCTACTCTAGACCAGAGCTACTCATGTATTCTTCCTCAAGGTCCAAATCCCACCAGTGACACACCACCAAGGTCTGCTGCAAGCAAAAAACAATATTGCCTAATTTTGGGAGCTAGGGTGTTTTGGCATTTGAGCCATTTGAGTACCACGTTCCAGAGTCTGTTCTCCAGTCTGTTCTGGAGTCTCTAAGGTATGTATTAACGAAATAACACAGGTACCCTTTTTAACAGTATATGTTACGTTATTACTAATTCTGCGCCAGCGTTGACATTAAACAGACAGCCCATATATACAATGCATGAACATTTACGGGGAAACTCTTCAGTGTGCTGCCCATAGCAGAGTCCGTGCATCAACAGCACAGCTCAGTTATAATCCCCTTTTAAACAGCAGTGTAAACGTTGCTTTCCTGTTGGTTTATGAAGGAGACTTTGAGCTGTATGGTGTTTATGCTCCTTTTTCCAGGGCCAGACAGGAGCACGGGGGACAGAATAGTGCAAAATAGTCTCATTGGCAGCAAGGAATTAGACACGTGATGATTTATATGGGGGATAAAGAAAAGCAGATCGGCGGGGCTTGCGGTTCAGGCGATACACACACAGGGCTTTCGTCTGGGTTACTGCAGCTGTAAACACCAGAGGCAAAGGGCAGCTCAGCTGGGCAACTCGAACATTCGCATCATTCTGCTTCTCTGTAGCCACTCTGCACCCTATTACTCATCTCGTCTTCACACCGTGTCTCCTGGTGAGGATTGCAGTGCCGGTATGCTCTACACTGATGAGAAATGCGATTATTTAAGTGATGAATGTGCGTTGAAATGCAGTAATGAAAATGTGTTGCAAATGCAGTAATGAAACTGCACTGAAATGCAGCAATGAAAGTGTGCTGAAATGCAGTAATGAAACTGCAATGAAATGCAGTGATGAAAGTGTGCTGAAATGCAGTAATGAAACTGCAATGAAATGCAGTAATGAAAGTGCGTTGAAATGCCGTAATGAAAGGTCGTTGAAATGCAGTAATGAAAGTGCGATGAAATGCAAATGAAATATTCCATTTGATCAGTTATTTTATTTAGAGCATATTAGGATTGTAAAGGAAACCATCTGAACATTCTGTCTTCCTGTCTGAAAGACATTACATGTCCTGCGACAGTCAGATGTGGCATCATTTCTGCAAAGGACTGATTGGTCCAGGCGGTGTATCTAGTACATACTACTTCTGCTAGGGACACTCTCCTTCCTCAGATATATATTGAGCACCAGCATCGTGTTTTTAATGGCTGCTTTGATCTACCCCAGGCAAACCGCTGGATCCGGAGCAGGGAGATAAAGAACGGGCTGAAGGTGGTCAAACTGAGCGACGCTGGCTTCCTGCGGACCCTGGAGAACGCCGTGCGTCTGGGCGTGCCCGTCTTGCTGGAGGATGTATGACTCACGCCTTGGCTCCCTCTGTTACCATGACGTCCAGCACTCTCCATGACACCATTTTACACCTCCATCGATTGGCTACTATTCTTTGAGCAACATACATTTGGAGAAGAAAAATGATAGAATAACCAGTAATTACAGATAATAGCTTACAGTATAAAACAGTACAATACATTAAGCAATGCATCATATTATTAATCATCGTGTAAGATGTAAATTGAATCGATACATTGTTACTAAAAGAATTTATAATCTATATTATTATATATTATTACTATACATTATACAATTATCATTTGTCATTGTTATGGCAAATGTGGATGCAGCCAGTGGCTTTACAACCACAGTCAATCCCCATTGTCAGCCTGTTTTGACACCGTCTGTCGTCCCCCGTGCTCTCTGTAGCTAAAGGAGACCCTTGACCCCGCGCTCGAGCCTATTTTGCTGAAGCAGACCTTTGTGACTGCCGGGCGCACGATGATACGCTTGGGAGACTCCGATATCGATTACGACAGCAACTTCCGCTTCTACATGACGACTAAAATGGCAAACCCACATTACCTTCCAGAGGTGCGTGAATCTGACCCGACACCCATAAAGTAACCAATACCTCATAGCTAAAGTAAGAATAAAGGCATTATGTTTTAGGGACTCTTTCAGCTTGGTCCATGCGACCACAGTCCACAGCACCCCATGATGTCCTCACGGTTAAGGCACCAGCTGTTTTTATGTAATAAATCAGTTTATTTTCATTGAGCTGCCCCTTGGTCTTCCTTCGTTTAGGTTTGCATTAAAGTGACCATCATCAACTTCACGGTGACCAAATCAGGCCTGGAGGATCAGCTCCTCAGGTCAGTAGATTGGCTCCTCAGGTCAGTAGATTGGCTCCTCAGGTCAGTTGATTGGCTCCTCAGGTCAGTAGATTGGCTCCTCAGGTCAGTAGATTGGGTCTGCATTTCTGCCTCACCTCTATATTCATTTAACTCTTACTTTTCTCCACCTGTTGATATGAATAATTGTGGCATAAGGTTTTATTTCTTACTACACTGTAGTTCATTTCTAAATGCCCATTTGAAGTCGAGGGCATCTTTGCATTGCTTAGACATGGCAGCAGATACCACAGTGTATCACGCGCTACCTTCGCCTTTTCAGCGACGTCGTGCGTCTGGAGCGGCCAGACCTGGAGGAACAACGCAACGAGCTGATTGTGCGAATCAACGCTGACCGCAACCAGCTGAAGGACATCGAGGACCGTATTCTCAGGCTCCTTTTCACCTCCGAGGGCAACATCCTGGACAACGAGGAACTCGTCCAGACTCTGCAAGAGTCCAAGGTCCAGGCAAACCCTGAAGACCATTGACATTTTTTTTGTAGATGTTGTGCTTGTTTTTTTGCGTGTGTGTTTCCTTCTGTGATTACTTTTCACACATTGCGCTCTAGAAGATCAATTATATGCCAGAGGCAAAGTGAAAAAAGTAGTTGCATCTTTTCAAAATATTCCTGCCATCTGAAATAACCATCATCAGAGCAATGAACGGTCCAAGACTGTCTGACATTGGTTAATCCAGGCATAAAAAGCTAAATTTATCCATTTACGTGTGTTCTCTGGCATGAGTGGCTGGCATCATTGTCTTTATTTTTAAGCCAAGAGTCAGAAACTCAATTGAGGCAAATTCCTGCCGTTTCCTTCCGGTCCATTCTAATTGCGCTGCTGTTTGGTCATTCCCTGATGTTAAGACATTTGTAATTTTTAGGTGACATCAGAAGCCATTAAGACACGTCTGCAGGAAGCAGAAGCCACGGAGCTGATGATCAATGCGGCTCGGGAGAAGTACCGACCAGTGGCTGCACGGGGCTCCGTCCTGTATTTCGTCATCGCCAGCCTGTCCGAGATAGACCCCATGTACCAGTTCTCCCTCAAGTACTTCAAGCAGGTATGACAGCAGTTCTTTGTGCCGTGACTTGGTTTCACTATAAAGATAGTTGTGGTGGGATCAGTAGGTTGTGCTTACTTTTGCCTCAATGGTTGGGTATTCCGCTAGTCATGAGGGTAAATTCCTGGGTTTACGATTAAAATTAAGATTAAGACTAAATTTATTAATCCATATTAATCCTTTGAGGAGAATAAAACCACAATTTTCATTGCTTCGTCATCCCTTGATACCTGACATTTTTTACTGCTCTATTATCTCTTTGTTTCCTCCCACATTGCGGTTTAGCTAATTGGTATCTCCAAAGGGCCGGTAGTGGTTGATTGAGTCTTTGAATGTGTGTGTGTGTGTGCGCTCTGGAACTCCACCTAGGGTGTACCATACTCTTGTTACTTCAAGTTCATTTCCTATTTGTGAACCTCCACTTCCCTCCCTTCTCCGGCTCTAAAAACGCGGCGTTCACGCTCTAACGGAAATCTTCCTCGCCAGTTGTTCAATAGCACCATCGAGACGTCGGAGAAGAGCTGCGACCTTTCCGCCAGGCTGCAGACCCTGCTGGGGCGGACGCTGAGCAGCACTCACGCTAACGTGTCCCGCGGCCTTTTCGAACGCCACAAGACCATCTACAGCTTCATGCTGTGCGTGGAGATCATGAGGCAGGGAGGCCAGGTGTCTGAGGCAGAGTGGCAGCACTTCCTTCGGGGGAGCTCGGGCGTCTCTAAGGTCAGCGCGTCATGGTGACCTCCCCCGACGTTTACGCGACGCCCCTCCCACACTGCGCTGGAGAAACGGCAGCCCAGTGCGCAATAAGCCGCTTCCCATCCAGACTGCTGGAGGGTGCAGTGTAACCACAGCTGAGTGATTTCTCAAACTACAGTGGTGACAGAAGGTCTTGGGACCAGGGGTGTAATTAGAGATGAATGAATGGGGAGCGGGGGGGGGGGTTGATGGTGGGGCCAATAGCAAACTATTCATGACTTAAGACAATAAATGCACATTTATCTGGGGGGGCTAAAAATATTTTGGGGGGGGGCATGGCCCCAATAAAATAGGCCTAACGATGCCCCCGCTTGGGATGTTTGTTTAACTCAGCAAACATGTTGCAAATTCATTGGATTTACTGTATAACAGAAATCAGTTCACATTTACTTCAAATAGTAATGCATTAAAACCCAAATTATAGTTCTACAAGAGCTGTTCTGAGTTTAAAAGTCTCATTGGGTGCTTTTTCATTAGCAATACCTTTGAAATTACATAAAACACCAAACATCTGTGTTTAGTATCATTTTGAGAGCCAGTGACTACGACTGTGATTAACAGCAGAACTGAATGAGTCGGTCAAAGAAATTATGACAAAAAAAAACAAATAAATTATGACACTTGATAAAAAAAAATGTTTGTGTGGAAGGTATATGTTAAACATTACTTATCGTTGGATTTTTGTCATGAAACCAAACAATTTGCAACATTTTTACTGAAATAAGCAAGTGTCCCGAGACTTGTTGTGAGCACTGTAAATAAATAGTGCAAGACGTTGGTTGTTGTACTTGTTATGCTTGCATATCTTCTTCTGAATCGGAGAAGCTTCACGCAAAGTTATGTAGCTATGTATCTGTCCAGTACTTGCTTTACTAGTCCACACTAGCATGATGAGCATTTCATACTAGTAGTACGGTATTACTAGTTCATTACCAGACTGGCCCTTATTATCAATGGTGCTGTTGAATTGCTGTGGTCAGTCGGATTACCTTCCATAGCAGTCTTTCATCTCTCGTTCAGAAATTCTCTTCAGAGGATATTAGTGAGCTAGTGTGCCGTTTTCGAATATCATTAGCACAATTTTGCGGCTAATTTGCGGCTGTAAGCTGGCCAGTAGAGTCAGTGTGCAGACTAACGTGGGTAAGGGAGAAGGCTGCCTAGAGGACGCGTGTAATGTGCGTAAGGGAGAAGGCTGCCTAGAGGACGCGTGTAACGTGCGTAAGGGAGAAGGCTGCCTAGAGGACGCGCGTAACGTGCGTAAGGGAGAAGACTGCCTAGAGGACGCGCGTAACGTGCGTAAGGGAGAAGACTGCCTAGAGGACATGTGCGGTTCAGCCGTGTCAGAGAGGATGGTCTCGCGAGAGCCACTGTCCTGACAGAGGTGTCAGCGGTTCTGAAATGTCATGTTCCCTAAATTTGACAGCAAGGAGACTCCCACGCTGACAGGGGCAACCCGACCGTTCCCTAAGCAGTCCGGGAAATGTTATTAAGACATGCTGTAAATGAGTTTGCTCTTCATTTATTTCTCACATTTTCTCTTGAGATGACGTCCATGTCATCAGCGAAAACAAAGTGAGATACTGTGTGTGTGTTCTGTGGCGATCACTCCAGAGGGCCTAGATGCCATCTCACATGGCCCTGCTCTCTGCGTCCTTGCAGGGTCCCGCGGAGAAGCCCGACGTCCCCTGGCTCTCGGACCTCACATGGCAAACCTGCTGTACTCTGGACACCCTGCCCTGCTTTCGGGGAATCAAGGAGGAGATTGTGTCCACACACATATCTGTCTCTCTCGGTAGGTTTACGAGTGACATGTATGAGCTGCAGGTGGCTTTAAGGTTTCTGAGAAGCACTTTGGGACGTTATTCAGGGGTGGCAGCCGTGTGTCATGGGGACGGGAGGAAGGAATAGGGGCTCTTTGGGGGGCATGGGAGCAGAGGCAGGTTTAATCAGAGCAGCGGGGAGGAACGAAAAGAAATTCAACCTTTTCAGTCTCAGCAAAAGGGAAAACACATGAGAAAATAGAAAAGGGCACTGGCTCGTGGAAAGAGCTACATTTTTGTGGGGGGGGGGCACTTTAACACCCCCCCCCCACACACACACACATTGTAACCTGATCAAACCACAAGAGGTATGTTGCTGTTAGACCTTAAAGTATAATACTTAATGTGAAACATGTCGCCCATTAAAGTATGTAGCTATATACAATGTAATTGTAAATTACAAAGATTTACTTTAATAAATGCCAGTTGTTGTAAAATGTACTTTTTTTTTAACTTGGATCATTAGTCAATTAACTTGTTGCCTAAACTGTAAATGTTCTATAGTATTTAATTTTATAATCATTATATAATTTATATAAATAGATTATTATATACTGTAGCGTATATATGTTTATATAGTTGATATATGTTTCTCTTATGCCTGATGTTACAAACAGCGTGACGTCTCCCTCCGTGTGTCGCGCTTCGTAATGAATAACGTCTCTCTCGTCTCCCAGGCTGCCTGGATGTCGCCATAAACCCAGAGGCCTGGGATGGTTATGTGATTCAGCTGCCTCCACTTTCGGAGGGGGTCCCAGATGGGCACGAGTCGGGTGCCGTCGGGGGCCACTGGAACCAGAGGCTGAGCGCTTTCCAGAAGCTTCTTCTAATCAAAAGCTTAGTGGAAGAAAAGGTAGCGTTCTGTCCTCGTGCCGTATTTAAAGGCGCCAAGAACGAAAACAGGGAGTGATACTCTCCCTTCTGTTTCATTAATAACCAATGAACTTTCTCGTGTAATTTTCTAATATGCTTGGGAACCTGTTACGTCTCCAGCGTACGCAGTTATTAATAAAGACACGTGCAATAAGCAATAATTTAGGCTATGGTAATGATAATATTAATCATTATTTGAAAAAATAAATAAAAATGAATGACATCTGGTTTGAGTTTTGTAGCGAGATGTGGTCTGAGTATTGTAGCGAGATGTGGTCTGAGTATTGTAGCGAGATGTGGTCTGAGTATTGTAGCGAGATGTGGTTTGAGTATTGTAGCGAGATGTGGTTTGAGTATTGTAGTGGGGATTTTAGCTGTCCAGGAAAGCCTAGATGGAGAAGCACCCCTCTTTAGTCAACATGCTAAAAGCTTTGGGCAATGGGTTTAGTGTCTCCATCACACCTCCTGTCTCACGATTTACATGCAGAGCAAAGCGCTCAATTTCTGGAATATATCTCTTTTAATAATGTCAGAGCAGACTCTTGAGAACAGTACATTTGAGGGAAAAGAGTTTTTAAATGGTAAAAAAGTAAAATGTCAGATAATACAGATAGTCCCAGAATATCAACCTAGCTGTAAGATGATTTAGATCAGGGCTATTCATTCACGGTCCGTAAGGTCTGAGCCCTGCTGGTTTTCCAGCCCTCCTTTACCTGTGAGTCAGGTGTGAAGCCTGCAGCCAATCCAAGGTCAGTAATTATTAGACTAACTACTTGGGAGAACCGAAAACAAGGCCTGGATTTGGAATCGAGGGCAGGATTTGAACAGTCCTGATGTAGAAGGTTGGTTTTTTTTCCTTCATTCAACAGTATTAACATTTCAACATTTTTCTTTCAGTCTATTTTTGCTGTGAATGCGCAGAACAGGAAGCAAAGGAAGCCTGACAGACTTACTGTGATTGCATATTTGTTTGTTTATGCATGTATGCTTGAGTTATTTACCGAGTCAAATTCATGCTCTATTTAGCTGCAAAATGAACACACACACTTATATTTGGCTGTCATTGGCGAATGTGTGCATTCATTTGCATGCCCTGATAATTTTAGTTTATCTGTATGGAAAAGATTCTTTTCATAAGCACAGTTTTATCTCTGTTTAATTTGTGGACGCTGAATTAAAGATTGATACTGCAGAGCATAGTACACTCACAGGGGTCCCCTTACACCTGTCCCAGTTATGTTTATTAAAATGAATGAATTAAAGGTTTTTTATGTCTATATTTTTATCTTCCTAGACCTATTAATTTCTTGTATACCCTTTTAATAAGCGGTTTTCCAGCCATTTCCCAGCATACAGACTGTGGCAGTGCTTTGCTTTAATCTCGAAATCGGTGTGCTGAATGGGATAAAATCCTTGAATGACCTCCAGCAGAGGATACTGTCATTGCATCTGGAGACAGATGTGTGGTCTTTTCTTTGCATTTGAATTCAGCTCCAAAGACACTGCTGGTTACTATATATCAGTTTAGCTGTGAGTGGTGCAGCATAGGTGAAGGTCTGAGAAAGATTAACAAACAGAGCTCTGCGTTTTTGTCCATTTCGTGAAGGTAACTCTGGTGAATTCTTCTGTTTCATTTTGCTGAACTGATCTTCTATCCGTGGGTCTTTTTGAAAACGTCTCACAGTTTGCTGACAAGAACTGTCTCTGGTTTTGTGCTGCTGTCCCTCTTGATCACATCCTCCTTGGCAGTTAAAAATACTTTAATGTCACTAAATTTAACGCATTTTCATTGTTTCTGCAATTGAACTGGAAAGTAAATTAGCTACTAAATAGAAGTGTGACACATTGGAAGCTTTCATCAGATAAAAAAAAGATACTGGCTTGTATGAATATGGTCATAGAGGACGTGTAACTATATCCCTCATTATGTCATGCCTTTACAGGGCACGCATGCTTTGTTCTTTGAGGGTTCAGGTGTTGTGTTCAGTTGTCCTTTTGTCTGTGGCCAGCAGCGCCCCCTACAGTGTGTCTGTGAGTCTGCGTGTCCAACCACACAGGTGGTGCTCGCAGTCACCGAGTTCGTCATCGTTAGCCTGGAGAAGCGGTTTGTGGAGAACCCCCCCGTGGACCTGGCTGTCGTGTATGGTGACATGTCCCCCTCCACCCCGCTGGTGTTCGTCCTCAGCACCGGCTCCGACCCCATGGGGGCTTTCCAGAGGTTCGCCAAAGAGAAAGACTACCTGGACAGGTGAAATTTGATCATCAATGCTTCAGTCTGTTTTCTATTGTCTGTTCATCCTTGACACACCAATTAGCAGCAAAGAATGAGAACTACTTCAAGGAAATATGATTCATTTGATAAAGAGAAGATTATCGCCAAGGGTGTAGATTTGGTGCGGATTCTAGAGAAGCAAGTCTACCCATATTACGGGAGTACCATGTATATTTAGGGGCCGGGGAATATGGGGCCAATTTGGCCCCTACCTCTCTGAAAATCAAATCTATGCACTTGATTTTCGCTCAGCATCAAAGGCTTCCATGACTTGCGTGGCTCTCCTGCTTTCCAGAGTAGAGTCTATATCCTTAGGTCAAGGGCAGGGCCCCATAGCGGAGAAGATGATCCGCGAGGGGATGAAGACGGGCAGTTGGGTCTTCTTGCAGAACTGCCATCTTGCGGTTTCCTGGATGCTGGCAATGGAAGAGCTCATTAAGAGCTTCACAGAGCCTGGTAGGTCTGTCTCATGATCTAGCCCCATGCTCTTTCATCACAAAGCTTACCCAGTCATCCCTAGGACAGATACAAAATGCATGAGGCATTTCATCAGCCAGAATATACATTTTTCTACATTTCACAATATATGTAAATAATAAACTGAGAAAAATATTGCAGTTATTTCCACTAGTACAGTGTTTCCCAATCCAGTCCTCGGGAACTCAAAGTCGGTCCACATTTTTGCTCCCTCCCAGCTCTCTGCCAGACAGCCCACATTTTTGCTCACTCCCAGGTAGGAGGGACTGTCTGTGGGTCCCTGAGGACTGGATTGGGAAATACTGCTCTAGTGTAATTATGAGGATCTAAATTGGCATTCTGCAATGATCTGCCCTTCCTGCTTGTATAGAAATGTTAAATTATTCTCTCTGTGTTAGGTCTAAATTAGAGAGCTTGCCTTCAATGTGCATAGTTAGGAAAAAAAAAAAACTTTCTGGGTTTTTTTTTTTGTGGGAGTTAAGTTCTCTGTGCATGAGAGGTTAGGTACAGGGGAGTATTTTTAGAAAATATTAATCAGGGATGGGAAAATTGAATCAAATCCAGTTTATTAGAGATTCTAATTTGCCTTACCTGCTTTAAACTGGTTTTGGTTTTGATTCTCTTTGCAGGCTTCTGGACATTTTGTGTTTATTTTTTGACTGTGTGTGGAACTGGGGCACAAAAATTAATGGCTTCTCATGCATCGAATGCTTTGAACTCACTGATTTAACATTCCCAACCTGTGCATCTCTGTGTGGTAACGCATGAACGTTTTTCAGATATGGCCAAGCACGTTCCATTCTCTCTCTTCAGATACCATCATCCATGAAAATTTCAGGCTGTTTTTGAGTTCTATGCCGACAAAAGTCTTCCCTGTTACTGTCCTGCAGAACTCAGTGAAGGTGACGTTCTGTGTATTTCTGCCTCATCGTGCCGTCATACTGGGGGCTATGCTTTCGTGATATTAAGCCACTCACTAGGGGGGCGACATTACGTGAATGATGTCATGAGTAAGGATGTCAGAGTAAAGATGCTTGGAGATTAGTTTACCACCTGACAGCCTAGTAAGAAATGTCTTCTAACACCGATATGTCTCATGTCTCATGATGCATTATACTGCATCAGACTAAACGGCATTTTCAGTGAAGCATGTTAAGGTATCAGGGATATACACACAGGGCCGAGAATCTGCTGCTTATACAGCCTCTCAGATACAGAGAAGTACGTTTTTGCTGTAAATTCATTCTTTATCCAATTACAGTATGTTGCACATGTGCCAGATCACATTAATTCCCATATGACATGCTGTAGCCTGCAGCCAGTGTGATGTCATGGTCTTACATTCTCTGGTATTTTTCCTGATGTATTTAAGCTTCGGAAGGTTTTGTTTGCCTCTTGACTTACAGGCATTCGCCGGGTTAAGAATGTCCCAGTCATGGAAAGCTTGTACTTATGAACGGACTGCCATAAAGCCTATTATATAAAAAATTTGTGTTAAATATAATGGTTTGTAATAACACACACTATGTTGTGACGCTCATGAAAACATTGCACAGCTTTTGCGATTCGTCTGCTCGAGATACAGTACAGTAATGCATATAGATGCTTGTATTATTACTGTAATATTATATTATTATTATTATTATTATTATTATGTATTGCATTATTATTTTTCCGACTTACCTACAAATCCGACTACGACTTAAAGACAGACTGAGGGAATGGATCTTGTTTGCCTGTACATGTTTATAAGCACAGAGCATATATGAGCATAGAGTATCATCTAGACATGACCTTTTTACATTGTAACTGACACTTTTCAGTAAGTCTGATCATTTTTTTAGCCTGTTATTCCCAAAGAAAGGGACTGAGAAACAAACACCCTGCAATGCTGTCTGGCCCCCACCTGAACATCTCTCACTGTCCCCCCGAAGGTGACCAACGAGCCGCCTAAAGGTCTTCGTGCCAACGTGAGAAGGGCCTTCACGGAGATCACTGGTAGCTTCTTTGAGGAGCACATGTTGGCTAGGCAGTGGAGGAAGATCGTGTTTGGCATGTGCTTCTTCCACGCAGTCATACAGGTGCACCCCCGTCTTCACTCACCCTCACACGACTCAGCGACTCTGTCATTTGAATCACCGGCTCTCTGTTTTATCAAAGATTGAGGTCAGTGTTGAGTTTCCTAATTTAGAGCCACAGGTGGATCGTTCAGGTCCTGAAAGTAAAAATTCAGAAAGTAAAAATCCAGACCAAGATTTTGTTTCAACCGACCAGTTGAGTATAAAGTGTCACAGTCACTTTTATTTTCTGGACCTGGAATGTCCACCTCTGCTTTGTTTTTTTAAGACTTTCTTTGTGAAATGGTCCCTTAGCAACAGTAGAATTTCTGTTTGTTGTTCCACACATCCTGTGCACATGTTGCCCTTGTGTAGAGAAAGCCACTTTATCAATGCTGACGTCTATGTGAAGGCCAGTTCTCTTTGCTCAGCCTTCATCCCCAACCGCTGCCTGCATGCATCTCTCAAGGGGGCGGCCAGTCATGACTGACACAACAGCCCTTTGTCTCCTGTCCTTCCTCATTACTGCAGGAGCGTAAGAAGTTCGGGCCCCTGGGCTGGAACATTCGCTATGAGTTCAGTGACAGTGACAGGGAATGTGCTCTGCTGAACCTCAACCTCTACTGCCAGACAGGAAGCATACCCTGGGATGCCCTCATCTACATAACAGGTGCGACAGCGGCATGGCAGCTGCAGTACCGATTCCTGCCACAAGAGCCGCGCTGTGTTCTCTGTGTTCTCAGATGGTCTCTGAATACAAATGCAGGCCAACAATGTATCAATGTACAGAGGGTGGTGAAATCTCTAGCTGGAACAAATTAATTTTGCTGGATTTCACCTGTATTACAAACCCACGATTAGGCTTACCATTTAATTGATTGTTTTAGAGTGCGATTTAATTGGATATTCAAAAGAGTTGACTGACTCTTGGCAGTTCCAGTTCTGCTTATAGGCAAGTCTTGAGTGTCAGTCTGGTAATTCCCTGGATAAAAATGACTGTGCATACTCGAAAAATTATGATTTGAAAACTTGTCACAAAAAGTCAAAATTAGCACAATGAGGTATATCCTAGACTAAACTGAAAAGGATACCATCACACAGAACTGTGCTCAGTTATATAGAAATAAAAATTAAGTTACTTTATTAAGGATTTTGTTATTTTCACCGATATAATTTGCGTGTTACAGCCACGTGAGACAAAAGGAGAGTGAGACTGAGAGCTGTTAGCACTCTTGGGTCTGGCTGTACCGATGCAACCTGTGCCCCATTAAGAGGCTGTCAGGGAGAGTATCAGAACCACCCAGGCTGCTCTCACCCCAATCCCCCCCCCCTCATGCTCGAAGGAAATCAAATTGATGTGCAGCAGCCTATTTCGTAGTCGCGAAGCACAGGACATGCTTATTAAACATGGTGAATGGGCTATCAGCCTCTCATACTCTGCACCATCACCTACATGCTTATTAAACACGGTGAATGGGCTATCAGCCTCTCATACTCTGCACCATCACCTACATGCTTATTAAACACGGTGAATGGGCTATCAGCCTCTCATACTCTGCACCATCACCTACATGCTTATTAAACACGGTGAATGGGCTATCAACCTCTCATACTATGCACCATCACTTACGTGCTTATTAAACACAGTGAATGGGCTATCAGTCTCTCATACTATGCACCATCACCTACGTGCTTATTAAACACGGTGAATGGGCTATCAACCTCTCATA